GAAGCGGTTCGTGGAGGACTTCCGTGCGGAGATGGTTCATGAGGGCCTCATGACGTTTCGGCTGTCAGATTGCAATGTTTCGAGCACGCAGGTGCCTCCGGTGTTCAGTGGGGCGGCCTTCCTAATGAATGATAGCGCTGTAGCACAACGTGTGTTTGTCGACTTGGGCGCCGGCTTTGATGTGGGGTGTGCTCTTGAGAGTAACTGGTGGGAGCGAGGTGGGCTCAGTGTGTTTCCTCTTTTCTCGACTCTCGGCAGTGCCCGTGCTGCCCTGCAGTCGGAGCTGCAGTCACGGCACGTTCATGGGGTTGCGGGTGTTGTGACGGAGGCGATGCTGGGCGTGGAGGGTGTGGCCTTCCTCGACCCGCTGCAGCTCGAGCCGCGGCTGAACAGGTTCCGCCGGCACGTGATCCACCCGTCGCCGACGCTGGAGCAGCAGTTCTTCGTGCTTGCGGAGTACCTCCGGGACACGGGTGTCCACGCGGTGGTCCGCGGCGAGGAGGCGGCGGCGGTGGCGGAGGTGCTGCGGCGGTCGCTGGTGACGTTTGGGGGGTCGCTGCGGTCCGCGACGCTGCTGGCCGGCGGCGACGCGCTGGCGGAGCACCTGCCGGAGGCGGGCGACGTGTTTGTGGCGGGCCTTGCGGCCGGCGACGTCGCTGCGGCGGCGCGGCACGTGGCGTCGCACGACGGCGTGCACGTGTTCGTCGCGTTCTCCGAGTTTGCGCTGCTGCACGCCGACTTCGTCGCCGCGTTTGGTGGCGGTGCAGGCGGCGCCGACCGCGTTGTGTTTGCGACGAGCCTGCCGCACTGGGGCGACGCGAACCCGACGTCGGAGACCGCCCGGGAGTTCCTCGCCGCTGTGCCCAACGCCACGCAACGGACGCCGCTGGCGCTGATGGGCTTCGCCGCCGCGCAGCTGCTGCGAACTATTCTCCCCCGCATGGACAAGGTGGGCGCTGAGCGGTTGGCTGACTTCTTCTACAAGAACGTTGCCGTCACCGTGAAGGACGTGCTGTACGGCTCCTTCGTTAACGGCACGGCGTGCGCTGCGGCTGCGGCCGGCGGTGCTGGGTGCGGCAAGAACCACGGGGCAACGCGCATTTCTGTGTGGTCGCTTGCCCGTGCGCTGAACCCCGCCGTGCCCGTGCTGCACCCCGCCGTGACCCCGACGATGGAGTACGCGAAGCCCGTTGCGCGCGGACTGACGCGACCGCAGCTGATCGGCGTCGTCGTCGGCGGCGTCGTTGGCGGTCTGCTGCTTGTGGGCGTGGCGGCTCTGCTGCTGCGCTTCTGCCGCGACTCGCGCGACAACGCGAATGCGCCGAAGGAGCCGACGGACCCCGTGACGCTCGTGTTCACCGACATCGAGAGCAGCACGGCGCTGTGGGCTGCGTGTTCGGAGTTGATGTCCGACGCCGTGGCGACGCACCACCGGCTGATCCGCGCGCTGATTGCGAAGTACCGCTGCTACGAGGTGAAGACGGTCGGCGACTCGTTCATGATTGCGTGCAAGAGCGTGTTCGCGTCGGCGCAGCTGGTGCGGGAGCTGCAGCAGGTGTTCGTGCGGCACGACTGGGGGACGGGCGCGCTCGACGAGGCGTACCGCAAGTTTGAGGAGGGCCGGGCGGAGGAGGACGCGAAGGAGGAGTACGTGCCGCCGACGGCGCGCCTGGACGCCGCGGTGTACCGGCAGCACTGGAACGGCCTGCGGGTGCGTGTCGGGGTGCACACCGGGGTGTGCGACATCCGGCGCGACGAGGTGACGAAGGGGTACGACTACTACGGCGACACGGCGAACATGGCGGCGCGCACGGAGGTCGTGGGGAACGGCGGGCAGGTGCTGCTGACGCGTGCGGCGTACATGTCGCTGAGCACGGCTGAGCGGGAGCAGGTGGAGGTGACGTCGCTGGGCGCGGTGGCGCTGCGCGTGGTGCCGAGGCCGGTGGGGATGTGCCGGCTGGACGCCGTGCTCGGGCGCACCTTCGCCGCGCTGCGCCTTGACCGTTTGATGCCGGAGCTTGACGCCAGTGACTGTGACGGAAATTCCTCCGATTTTTTCTTTGCAGCACGTTTTATGACGCCTCCGTCCTTTTCGTTTCGTGTTTGTCGGGCCCGTGCGTTCCCCGCCCTGCGTGCCGGTGTTCTTGCGTCGCTCTGCGCGAGGTGGCGCGTGCGTGGGGATGAGCGGGGGGTAATGTCCTGCGATGAGCACTGCGGTGCGCTGGTGGAGGTGCTTGCGCGTCGTGTCAGCCGCGTTTATGGCCGCAGCTTGGAGCCGAGAGCGCCGGTTGCTTTTCTGGGGTCTGCTGCTTCTTAGACGGGATCGGTGCGTGCGGCGTGTGGGGGGCAGAGCGTTTCTTCAGTGTCGCAGCTTTGGGCCGCGGTGTGTTCCCGGTCTGGAACTTAATTGCGTCCCCGAGTGGGTGCGCTGCTCAGGCACCACAGCAGCTGTGTGCGCCCC